AAGGACAGGTGCTGTGATACAGTAGGAAAGCAAACTCTCAGTATTGCCATTTCCAGTCAAAATCCAAACACACAGGTTGCAACACTGGTCTCCACTCATCACCACAGTTTCTTACCTGGAAAGAATAAATTCACAGCTCCTGTCTTCTGGAATCAATGTTCTGCTTTAAACACAAAACATTAATTTCTGTGTTTCTTCTCCTCTCCAGGAGATAACCTAAGATTTGACAGCTTAAGTAAATCTATTTGGGTTTTTTTCTAGTTTGTCAGCTATACTCAAAGAAACATAACAGAACAGATTGTTGAAAAAAAATCTTAATCTTCCAGGAATATGAGGCTTTATTGTTGGTTAGATTTTACTTCATCCTACATTTTAAAAAAAATTATAATAGATATTACAATAGCGAGGCCCTTCAACACTGTAATAATTCTTCTCATAAATATACTTTGAGAGATTCATCTCTAGTATTTATACCTGATTCTTCTCATTAGAAGCAGTAGAATACAGTTGTATTAATATGAGCATTCTTTTAGTCTCGATTTGGTTTATATAATTGCAAGCACACAGAATTTTACAAAAAGGGTCCTCATTGAAAAGACAGGAACAAATAGTTCTTTTTGATCTTAAAATATTTTTCCATCATATTGCTCAGAACAGTAGTGCAGGTGGGGCTTTTCCCCCCAAAAAAAGCATAATTCAGAAATTTGTATTAGAAGTTGAAGCAACATGGTTTACCAAAGAGCGTATTTTACTTCGAATAAGTAAACACCAGGATAACTAGCAGATTTAAGGGCATTTTTACTTAACTAAGAAAATCTATGTGATGTTAAGACCATCGTCTGCTGCTGGAATGTTTTGTTTAGAATATCTTGTTTTAGGGATCAAACTGTTTATTTTACTTTCAGAGCCGTATGCATGGAGGAGCCATTCATAGAATGTCTACTTCATAACTTACAGAAAATGACTGAAAGAAACAATAGATTCAGCTGCTTTCTTAAACCAACTTTCCTGGTGAGACTATTTTTTTTCCTGTTGTACTTGTCTGTCATACATTAATGTGACAAGAGAAATACTTATGATAGGTTCATCCCCAAGTTTAAAGTATCAAGCCAAGAAAGCATTAAGTGAGGATGTATCACCAATTTCAGACTTATATATTAAATAAGCCTGGTTTTCTTAGATAATCAATTCATGTGCTGCACCGAAAAGCTGAAAGGAACAGAAATCAACCACTTAAATTCCTATTATTAAAAACAATGCAGTTTCAAACATAAATTAACCTATTTGTTCCCAAATGAAGCTGGTCCAGATTTAATATGTAATTTAGATTAGAAACTACTGATTACTTAATAGAATATAGAGAAAAATAGTCTTGCATATTATGCAATTCAGCCAAAATCTGAAAAATCACAGTAACTCCAGAGAAACTTACATGAAAAATAAGTATTAGAAAAAAACCTATGTGTTTCTGCTCCATCTATTAAAGTGCTTTAGTAGATAGAATGAGATCTAGTATCAAACAATCACCTGTATGCTATGCTCAAATGGTAGGAAGTCTTCCAGGCAAGAATTTCCATCCACTTAAGCAAAAGGCAGAGATGTTCTTCACTCCCAAAACAGCACTCCTTCCTCAAAAATCCTGTTGTTCAGCTTTAGAAAACTGTAAAATTCAAGCCAACACATTCCACAAGGACTGCTGATATTTGGGTGCGCTGCAACTCATGAAAAGTGTGACTTTCAAAGCGCTTGATTTGCCACTTCTTCTTTAAAGGTGTCCCAGAAGCAAGATAACCCAAGACACCCACAAACACATTTGAGATTTCTGAAAACCCTTGCTGGTGTCACGCGACAGCAAAGGAGTAAACGTTCCATCCTATGCCCTTTTCTGACCCACATCCTCAAGCATCAGCATCTACCTTAAGACAACAGCGCCAGTGTCGTTCAAGCATACAGTATGCCAAAGCAAACGTAGACTGAAGCCCCAGATCCAAGCTGCTGTCACAGCTGATTAGTTTTCAATTCAAACAACTCCAACTCTGGCCATGATCTATGAACATATGAACAGCTTGCTAACCTAAACATAATAGATGTCTTCCTGAGCATGTGGGCTGGAAGACAAAGCCTACTTAGCTCTGAATCACAAAAACAGAATAATTCGTGTTGGGAAGGACCTCCAAGGGAGCATCTGGTCCAGCCTCCTGCTTAGTGCAACACCAACAACACTGAATCCAGATCAGATTGCTCAGGGCTTTGTCCGGATCTTGAAAACTGTCAAGGACAGAGATTTCTGGGATCTGAGAGTAATCTGTTCCAATGCTTGACAGTCCTCATAGTGAAAAAAAATCTTCCATTTCAGTTTATGACCACTGACTCTCATCCTCCTGCTCTGCAGTTTTAAGCAAGCTTGGCTCCTCCTTCTTGGTAACTTTTTAGGTACTAGAAGGCTGCTGTTAGGTTCCCCCAAACCCTTCTCTTTTCCAGGCTGAACTTACCCAGCTCTCTCAGCCTCTCCTCATATTCTACACACTCCGGTGTACTTTGTCATGATTAAGCTTTAATTGTAAAATTAGTCATTTTCTTTTGTTCACCTTCTGTAATGTGTTAAAGATAATACAGAACTTCTAATCAAAAAAGTATAAATTTAGGGTATTTATATAGTTACTCATTAAAGCAGTCTGGAAACAGACTGCA